CCAGCCGTCTGGATGAAACTCCAACTTCTAACCTTTACACCATATTGGTGTAACCAATGTATTTCAAAACATCACTTTTTTTTTCTTTCCCCCACAAATGAAACATTGTTGTTCCTAAAAACTCCAGAAGAAAGGAGACAACGTTAAGTAACTTTTGAAAACTGACAGTTTTAAAAACATGTATGCTTTGTTACATACAAACTCTGACAGTGGTGCAAAATTACAGATTTTTAGCACATGCATAAAACGTTTACATTTTGTGTTGAAAAACTGCTACAGAGTGGAAAATCAAAAGCATGAATTAGGTCAATGCTATTGGTTTGTAAAAAAATAAAACTCCAGTCATGCAGTAAGTTTAATGAATAGTATTTTAAACATCACTTTTCCAAGTGAAATGCACAGATAAAGCTTTTATATTCAGAGTGAAAAACATTCCGTTAGATTTTAGTTTGATCATTTGAAAATGTGTTTGCCAATAAAAAACATTGTTTAAAGAAACATATACACTCCCAACAAATTGTGTGTAGTGACAATAATCTTGATTAAATCTATTGGTAGAAGAAAAGCATCATTTACCCTGTAAAAAAGTAATCAGTCTACTTTCAAGAACTACTTTTAAACTTGACTAATTTTGACAAATTTGTAAACTTACTAGATTTGACACTATTGTATGAACATGTACATAGTGGATTCAGTAGTTAAACTAGAAAATTTTACTATAAAACATTAAGTAGATTTAACTAAGGGCTGGAGCTGTACTGTTTTTAGATAAACTGAGAGCCAATTTTCTTCTTAAAATAAATATCAGTGTTATTCCATTATTCAGTATAATTAACATATTTCTCTTTATATGATCAAGTATTTGCAATGAATTAAAAACAGTTTGAATTTAAAATTCAGTAACTAAGTTGTCTAGTAATGCAATTACTACAATTTATTGTAATAAAATTACATTTTATTTATCTTTTGAAACAGAAAAAACAATAATGTCTAAAGAGTGATAAGTCCTTTTTAGTAAATATTTTATGTTGATTTTTTAAACCAACACCAGTGATGACCAGTGCTCAAAACATTAGGCTTTGGATTAACTGTATTACAATGTGTGCCATAAATTACAGGACATGCATGTAAATAAATTGAAAACATGTTAGTCAAAGGAAAAACTTTCATTTTAAATTGTTTTTCATAATAAAAGTTTTCATTAATTATAAAGACAACTTGAATTTACATCTGTGTTTTTCAACATTTTAGAATATTACATTTTAGATAACGTTGTTTTAAAAGGTGTGACAATTTATTGTCAATAAAGATTAAGATGTGTTATTTACTGGATTAATATTGTAAACATTTTCCCAGAGATGGGTTGCGGGTGGAAGGGCATACGCTGGGCAAAACCTTGCTGGTTAAGTTGGCGGTTCATGCCGCTGTGTCCACCCAGGAATAAAAAAGGGACTAAGGCGACAAAAAATATTGTAAACATATTTTAATTTAATACTCCGACAAAGATACATCAAAATGTTTGTGTGTCTTAAAATATGTATTATTGTAGTAATAATGTGAAAAACAACATAACCTATTAATGAGTATTTTTAGTAAATACTGTGTCGTTGGATTCAAGCATACAAAGCCAGACCCAAGTTCGCTCAAGCGCGCACACATGCACGCACGCACGCACGCACGCACGCACGTACGCACACACAAACACATACATATGCATACAGTTGACTGCATATGGACATATAGATATCAGTACACTTTCTAATCACCTAACAACATATAGTAGTTAGTGGGAGACACCCAACACATACAATCAGATATACATATTCTACATCTGATATAAATCTATCTTTCACAAGCACTTGACGGGATGTTATCCAAAGTTTTCCTTATCATCACTCACTCACACGCTCAGGCCCAGACTGAGACACAGAGGAAACATCGGTATGAACATAAAGAAATGTTTATGTAAATAGTTTATTAATTATAATATAATATAATATAATGGAATAGAATAGAATAATAATGATATATAATATAATATAATTTAATTTAATATCTAATATAAATATTATAATAATAATATAATATAATAATATTATATAATATGGTATAATTACAAAATAAGTTAATAAAATAATGATTTAATATAACTTAATATAATATATTATAATACAATACATAATTTTATTTAATAAAATATTAATTTTATATAACTTAATATAATATAATATATTGTAATATAATAATATAATTTAGTCAAATAACTAAAAATATAAAATAATGGTTCTAATAACAGTAATTTAATTACCGTTATTATTATAATAATAATTTTATTTCTGTTTGATTAAATTTAATTACCAATATTTTCATTACCTGGAAATAGCCTATTAATTTAATTAGACTGATAAAAATCTAATTACCGGAATTATTATTTTATATTAAACCGATAAAAATCTAATTACCGGAATTATTATTTTATATTAAACCGATAAGAATCTAATTACCGGAACTATTATTTTATATTAAACCGATAAGAATCTAATTACCGGAACTATAAAGTTTATATAAAAGGGGCGGGGCTTAGACCGGAAGTCCCGCCTTAGGGGCGGGGCTACAATCCATCAAACTTTTTGACAGGTGCCGCATCATAATAACTACTATGGGCTGTGAAGTAACAGGAAGAATTATAGATATTTAATTAACATTAGTAGTGCCAATTTAACAAACGATGCCTTATTATTATTATCATTATTATTATAATTATTATTATTATTATCATCATCATCATCATCATCATCATCATCATCATTATTATTATTATTATTATTATTATTATTATTATCAGATTGATATTTATGTGATGAAACTCACCCTTTGTATTTGTAAATCTATAAGACTTTTCTTTCAGAGTCATAAGTCAAACCTGGCCTGCAAACAAAATAATCAAATATTTATACGGCTGACACATTAGGATGATGCACTGCTGCTGCACGCCGTCTGCATTTATTACACCACTATACACGCTTTTCAATGAGGAAATCAAATGATTACTAACCGGCTGATTTTAGAAGACTTTATGCAGCATGTATTTTTTTATTGATTGGTCACTGATTGATTTGAATTTTTTAGTGTGTAACATGTACAGTATGTGTTGTCATAAACACTGAAAATGGCATTGTTTTAATAATAATAATAATAATAATAATATTAGCAATAGTAGTTCTTGTCAGATACTGCTTTTACAATTAGGCAGTCAATAATAATTGTATTTGTAATGAATATGTTAATATAACAACTATGTTGATTTATTTCATTCAATCACTCAGTCATTATTTTTAATTTTGTATTTTAATTCATTCATTCAGAAAAAAAACATTAATTCATTTGTTCATTTATTTATTGTTTCATTCATTTCCCAACTCATTCATTCATTTGTTAGTTTATGTATTTCATTCATTCATTTATTGGTTCAATCACTCACTCATTCAATTATGTATTCTATTCATTCATACATTCATTCATTTATTTGTTCATTTGTTATGCCTTTTTATTCTTTAATTTGTTTTTTTTTATTCATTCCCCAACTCACTCACTAATTCATTCATTCATTCATTCATTCATTCATTCATTCGTTTATGTATTTCAATTATTCGTTTTTTCGTTCCCTCATTCAATTATGTATTTTTTTCATTCACTTATTCATTCATTTGTTATGCATTTTCAGTCATTCATCCATTCCTTTGTTCGTTTATATTTTTCATTTATTCATCATTTGTACATTAATCTATTTAATTCATTAATTTTGTTAATTCACTTACTCATTCACTTCAGTGTTTTATTCACTCACTCATTTATTCATTTGTTATGTATTTTCAGTCATTCGTCCGTTCTTTTGTATATTTATCTTTTTCATTCACCCATTCACCCATTCATTCATCATTTGTACATTTATGTGTTTAATTTATTAATCTATTAATTCACTCACTCATTCAGTTATGTGTTTTATTCACTCTCTTATTCATTCACTTGCTCATTTATGCATTTCATTCATTCATTTGTTCATTTAAATTTTTCATTCATTTACTCATTTTTTAATTTGTTCATTTATGTATCTCATTCATTCATTTACTCATCCTTTCATTTGTTAGTTTGTTTATATATATATATATATATATATATATATATATATATATATATATATATTAATATATCCACTCTAATAACTGATTTATTTTCTCTGCCATGACAGTATACAATATTAGACTGAATATTCTTCAAGACACTTCTATACAGCTTTAAGTGACATTTAAAGGCTTCACTAGGTTAATTAAGTTAACTAGGCAGCTTAGAGTAATTGGGCAAGTTATTGTACAATGATGGTTTGTTCTGTAGACTATCGAAAATAAATATAGCTTAAGGGGCTAATAATATTGACCTTAAAATGGTTCATAAAAAATTTAAAACTGCTTTTATTCTAGTTGAAATAAATCTAAATAGGTCTAAATTCTGAAATATAAATAAAAAGTCTGAATTCTGAGATATAAACTCAGCATTTCCTAGAAATATTTAGAAAATTGAGGACAGAAAATACATTTACAGAAATAGGTTGACAATATTAGTAGAGTTCAGCGTTCGGCTCTGTGTGGTGTGTGTGGATTAGTGTTGAGCTCCTGCAGAAATGTGGATTTCTCAATGAAATCTACCCGCAGGTAAAACCGTCTGTGTTTGATTCGTCCTGTGGGTTTAAAACGCTTCTCATCCACTCCTGAGAGCACATAAAACAGCTCCGGTGTTCTTCCCACAATCCTTCGCTCACAGTACAGCGGCTGCAGATTATTGATGATTCAGTGTCTGATTGGTCCACGTGAAGATTGTTTGTCTACCTTGAGGAAATCTCTGCTCAAATCCGGTCTCGCTGATGTTCATTGTAGCTGTCAGAAATGTTGAGGGATTTGGATTTTCCTGGATATTTTGCTTAAATGATGTGCTTTTCTCCACAGATCGCTGATGTCCTGGCTAAGATGAAGCCAAGTGTGCTGCTCACATTGGTAAGATTGTTCATTAGATGATGGTTCAGTTCAATTCTTGCCTACAATAATGAGATGGTTTAACGTGTTTCTCTGTGTTTCTTCGTGTGTAGCGAGGGCTGAACACTGATAGCGGCAGCACCTGTCGTGAAGCCTCCTTTGAAGGCATCAGTCGGTGAGTTTCATCCTTTATTCAGAGTTCTGCTCCTGAAACTCACTCGGAGAAAGTGGCACACAAAACCCTCTGTGTGTTTGATGTAAGATCACACACAGGGTTTAGATATTCACTGTTATCTCTTACTGCAACATTTATGGACGAGGACGTTTTAATAGTGTCTGAATGTCATCGCATTAGATACAAAAGAGTCCATTCAGTTCAGCTCAATTCAAAAGAGTCAATTCAGCTCTGTTCAGTTCATAAGAGTCCGTTCAGTTCAATTCAAAAGAGTCAATTCAGCTCTGTTCAATTCAAAAGAGTCCATTCTGATCAGTTCAATTTAAAAGAGTCGATTGAGCTCTGTTCAATTAAAAAAGTCAGTTCAGTTCAATTCAAAAGAGTCAATTCAGCTCTGTTCAGTTCATAAGAGTCCGTTCAGTTCAATTCAAAAGAGTCAATTCAGCTCTGTTCAATTCAAAAGAGTCCATTCTGATCAGTTCAATTTAAAAGAGTCGATTCAGCTCTGTTCAATTAAAAAAAGTCAGTTCAGTTCAATTCAAAAGAGTCAATTTAGCTCCTGTTGAATTCAAAAGAGTCCATTAAGTTCAGTTCAATCGAAAAGAGTCAATTCAGCTCAAAGTAATAAATTTTGTTAAATTCAATTCGAAAGAGTAAATTCAATCTAAAAGTAAATTCAGATGAGTTCAATTAAAAAAATTAAATTCGGCTTAAAATAGTTAATTCGGTAAAATTATTTCAAGAGTCAATTCAATAAACACAATTCAAAAAAGTCAATTTAGTTCAGTTCAAAAGAATCCATTCAATCAGAGTTAATTCAGATCAGTACAATTTAAAAGATTCACTTCACTCAATTCAGTTAAAAAGAGTAAATTAAGTTCAAAATAGTTAAGTCAGTTGAATTAAATTTAAGTTGAATCAATTCAATTCAAAAGAGTCAATTCAGTTCAATTCTAAAGAGTAAATTCAGCTTAAAATAGTAAATTCTATTAAATCATTCAAAAGAGTCAATCAATCAAAGCATCAATACAGAAAAGTCTGTTCAGCTCTGTTCAATTCAAAAGAGTCTGTTCAGTTCAATTGAAAATAGTCAATTCAATCTAAAAGTTAATTCAGATTAGTTCAATTAAAAAAAAAAGTTAATTACACAGATCAGTACAATTCAAAAGGGCAATTAACTTCATTTCAAAAGAGTCCGTCCAATCAAAGAGTTTATTCAGTCTATTCAAATTATCACACAATTTGAAAGATTCAATTCAGTTAATTCAGTTAAAAAGCATGAATTCGGTTCAAAATAGTCAACTCGGTTCAATTAAATTTAAGTTGAACCAACTCAAATTCAAAAGAATCAATACAGTTCGATTCAAAAGAGTCAATTCAGCTCACAAACGTAGATTTATTTAAGTTTTATTCAAAAGAGTCAATTCAATCTAAAAGTAATTTTAGATCACTACAATTCAAAAGAGTCAATTCAGTTTGAATGAGTCCGTTAAATCAAAGAGTTAATTCAGATCAGTACAATTTGAACGAGTCAATTCACTTCCTTCATGGAGCTGAATGCAGTAAATAGTCTGTATAAAACAAACTTTTATAACCAGATTATTCAACAAAAAATAATTAGTGCAGTAAAATATCTGTGATCACAAGCTCAAGCTTATACATACAATAATCAACACAATGAAAAAAAGCTCTTTGTGTGTCTATAATGTAGAAGTGATCGGACCATTTATAATAATTAGGAATATAATAATAATATTAATAATACACTCATCAACCAATCAGAATCAAGCAATTGTTGTATTATAAGAAAAATAATGACTCTTTAAGTTTAAATATTTTTAAAATGATTATTAATAATAATAAAATTGCTTTAAAACAAACTTGAAACTAATAATTCTGAAAAGAAAGTAAAAAAATAAGCAATCAGATTATTACAATAATAAAGAACACAGTTTTATGGAAATAAAAATCAGTTCAAATGTCATCAAAAGCACATTTTTAGTACAGAACAATATATTATTTATGGGTCTGAGATGCTAAAACAAACGTTGTAGTGTTGAAAACCAAAGCTTTTATTGACACAGAAACAAATGAAATGCAAAAACAATAGATGGAGTGTTAAAAACCAACACATTTATTGACACAAAAATAATTGAAGTGCTAAAACAATAGATGCAGTGTTGAAAATGAATGCATTTAGTCACACAAAAACATTATGTTCTTCTCTTCTGCAGGTTTGAGGTGAATAACTCGCTGCTGCACCCTGTGATTGTGGAATGGTGAGTGCTCTTTACATCACACGTATAGTCAAAACATTTCAACTGAATTAAATCTTTTTTTTCCTGCAGCCGAGGTGTGATTGATGTCTTAATAACTAAAGCACAAATCTGAGCTTGTTACTAAAGTCCAATTAACAAAATCAAAGGCAGTTTGCCGGTTACTCCAATTAGCAAGTGTTTGATCTTTTGATGAAAGGTAGAATAGACGGCGATTACCAGCGCTTCGTTACGACTGAACTTGGACTGTTTCATCTCTTCGTGTTCCGATTCATTGCATCTTTTAAAAAGTTTGTTCTTAATGTGTTTGTGAAGATCGGCTTGTTTCTTTGTCTTTTATTTAATTAATGGAGAATCATTAAGCATGCAGACACAATGGGCTGGATCAGATGTGATTCATTGTTCTGTTGTATTAATGTTTGAATTTTGTTGGGGGGGGGAATTATATTCAAATGAAACCATCATCTATTAAAGCCTGTTTCTGCTGGGGGATAAAAAAAGACATAAACTTAATTGTTATTTTTCTCACAACTCTCTCAAAATTACTTTCAAAAAAATAATTCTGGAGAATAGAGTAATCCCAGAAGTGTGAAGTAAAGTTGCTTAAAGAGGCTTAAGGTTTTAAAACTTGCAATAAAGAAATTTACAATTTTACAACCACGTCACACTTCTTCATTTGCATGTCACTATTCTTCATTTACATCTAACAATTCTTATTTACATGCTGTATTTCTTTGTTTGCATGTCACAGTTTTTCACTTGCATGTCACACAGATTCATTTGCAAGCCACACTTCATTGACATGTCAAAATCCTAATTTACATGCCAGAATTCTTGATTTGCGTGTCAAAATTCTTGATTTGCATGACACAATTATAATTTACATGCCACAGTTTTTCATTGACATTTCACAATTTTAATTTGCATGCCACATTTATAATTTACATGCCACAATTTTTCATTTGCATGCGATAATTTTTAATTAACATGCCACAATTCTTCATTTACATTCCACAATTCTTCATTCGCATGCCACAATTTTAATTTGTCACAAATTTAATTTGCATGCTTCTTCATTTGCATGCCACAATTTTTCATTTAGATGTCACAATTTTAATTTGCATGCCACAATTCTTTATTTGCATGCCACAATTTTTCATTTAGATGTCACAATTTTAATTTGCATGCCACAGTTCTTCATTTGCATGCCACAATTCTAAATTCCATGCCCTAATTCTTCATTTGCATACCACTATTCTTCATTGGCATTCCACAATTTTAATTTGCATGCCACAATTCTTTATTTGCATGCCACAATTGATTTGCGTGTCACAATTCTAATTTACGTGTCACAATTCTTCATTTGCATGCCACAATTTCAATTTACATGTCACAGTTTTAATTTGCATGTCACAATTCTTCATTTGCCTGCCATAATTTCTCATTTACATGCCACAATTCTTTGTTTGCATGCCACAGTTTCTTATTTGCATGCCACCATTCTAATTTACATGCCACGATTCTTTATTTGAATGTCACACTTCTTAATTTACATGCCACAATTCTTGATTTGCATGTCACAATTCTAATTTACGTCACAATTTTTTTGTTCGCGTGCCACAATTCTTCATTTGCATGCCACAATTCTTCATTTGCATGCCACAATTCTTCATTTGCATGCCACAGTTTTAATTTACATGCCACAGTTTTAATTTGCATGCCACAATTCTTCATTTGCATGCCACAATTCTTCATTTGCATGCAACAATTTTAATTTACATGTCACAGTTTTATTTTGCATGCCACAATTCTTCATTTGCCTGCCACAATTTTTCATTTACATGCCACAGTTCTTCATTTGCATGCCACAATTTAAATTTAGATGTTACAATTCTAATTTACATGTCACAATTCTTGATTGCATGTCATATTTCTAATTTACTTTTCACAATTTTTATTTATGTCACAATTCTTCATTTGCATTCCACAATCCATTGCTTGCATGCCAATGCAAACTCTAATTCACATGACACAGTTCTAATTTATGTCACAGTTCTTATTTGCGTGTCACAGTTCTAGTTTTCATGTCATCATTTGAATTTGCATGTCATAATTTTTTATTTGCGTGTCACGTTTCTTTATTTGCATGCCACAATTTTAATTAACATGCCACAATTCTAATATACGCGCCACGTAATGCATGCTACAATTCTTCATTTCTATTCTACAGTTCTTCGTTTGCATGCCATGATTCATCATTTCCATTTCACAATTCTTTCTTTGCATGTCAAAATTCTCATTTTACACCACAATTCTAATTTGCATGTAAAAACTCCTCATTTGCATGTCACTTATTCTATTTTATGTTACAGTTCTGAGTTTAAAACCTCTTTAAATTTGACTCAAATAGCTAAATATCGCAGTGCTGATGCTCCTAATTTTTAGGAAATTAAAATCAGAATGGTGAGATGAAACACATCAGTTCTCTGTTGTTATTGTTGTGCGGTGTAAAGGATCTTTGCTCCTCTTGTCATGAGGAAGTCAGTGTTAAGCTGAAGCGCTTCAGATAATTTCAGCACAATGACTCTTGAGTCTGAAGCACACGATCAGCAGTGCAGTGTGTCTCTCCTGTGCAGGTCTGTGTGTAATGGTCTGCGTGCTTCTCTCTCTGCTGTGTGCATTAGGATTTCTCCTCTATTACTGGCTGGAAAGCGGCTCATTACCGTCTCCCTTTGCTCGCCCGCTAACTCTGTTGTTTTCTTGTTATTCTCTCCTTCACTTATTACTCTGAGATTTGCAGAGAGAAATTGCAGCTCGCTTCTGCATGATGAAGCATTTCACAGATATTAAAGACCTGCAGATGCGTTTACGTCACCTGACAAACAACTGAAGAACACGACTACGACTGTTAGCGGTTCTGTTATACACGCAGAATACAGAAAACACTGAGACCATTACTGCTGCACTGGTGTATTAGCAGCAGTGTCACATCAACAAGATCCATCTCTCCCCTCTTTCTTTCTTTCTTTCTTTCCTTCTTTCTTTCTTTCTTTCTTTCTTTCCTTCATTCCTTCCTTTTTTTTTCTTCTTTTCTTCTTTCTTTCATCATCCATTCTTCCATCTTCCTTTTTGTCCTTCTGTCCTTCCTTTGTCCACCATCCATTCATCCTTTATTTTGTTCTCTCGTTCTTTCTCTTGTTCTTTCTTTTTAACTTATTTTTTCTTTCTTATTTTTCTGCCATCCATCCTTCTAACCTTCCTTTTTTCTTTCCTTTCTGTCCACTATCCATTCATCCGTTCTTTATTTCTTTTTCTTTTTTCTTTTTTTCTTTCTTTCTTTCTTTCTTCCTTTCTTTCTTTCTTTCTTTCTTTCTTTCTTTCTTTCTTTCTTTCTTTCTTTCTTTCTTTCATCATCCACCCATCCTTCCATCGTCCATTCTTTCATCTTCCTTTCCATCCTTCTCTCCTTCCTTTCTGTCCACTATCCATTCATCCGTTCTTTATTTCTTTCTTTTTCTTTCTTTTTGCTTTCTTTCTTTCTTTCTTTCTTTCTTTCTTTCTTTCTTTCTTTCATCATCCACCCATCCTTCCATCATCCATTCTTTCATCTTCCTTTCCATCCTTCTCTCCTTCCTTTCTGTCCACCATCCATTCATCCTATATTTTGTTCTCTTTCTTTCTTTTCTTCTGTTCTTTCTTTTTCATTTCCTTTTTCTTTTTTTATTTTCTTTCTTTTTTCTGCCATCCATTTATCTTAACCTTCTTTCCTTTCTTTCTTTAACCACCATCTGTTCTTTCTCTTTTTCTTTCTCTTGTTTTTTCTCTCATTCTTTTCTCGTTGTTTTTCTCGTTCTTTTTTTCTCTCGTTCTTTCTTTCAATTACTTTTTCTTTCTTTCTTTTTTCTACCATCGATCCAACCTTCCATCCTTCATTTCTTTTTTCTTTCCTTTCTGTCCACTATCAATTTATCCTTTCTTCCATTCTTTCGTTCTTTCCTTTCTCTTGTTCGTTCTTTCTTTCTTTCCTCCATCTTCCTTCCTTCATCTGTGTGTGTGTCTGTGTCTGTGTCTGTGTCTGTGTGTGTGTGTGTGTGTGTGTGTGTGTGTTACTTTAATAATGCCACTAATATTATATTCCTACTCCACATGTCTTAAATTAATTTCTGTTCAGTGATGACTTTAGTCAGATTAAGGTGATCAAAAATGGTTGTTTGTAGCTTATGTAGGAACACAATTCAACATTCATGTTTACCTGAATAAACAGTGAGTAAACACTACAAGTACATCTTATTGAACATCATTTATTTTCATCAACCATTATCACAGTAGAACAGATTTTACCAGCAGTTTGTGATGCATTTTGAAAACAGGAGATGAGCCCCTGGTCTAATGCGCCACCTGGCTAGAGAAACCCGTTCTCAAAGACTTATATATAGTCATTATTTGGGTAGCACACATATTCTGAATGCCTTCGACAGAATGAGCCATTTTAATCTAGATTAATTCCAAGATTACAGTTAGATTAATCTAGATAAAAAAAATCATTGTATGACCACCTATAATATATACATATATATATATATCCCCATTTTATATGATGAATAATTCATCATGTGACCAGCATGAAAGCTTATTATTAAACAGTTTGTGTAGTTTTTGTGAGAGTCTCAGTGAGGTTTACCAGAGCAGGTCTTTACTGATTCCTGATGTTGGAGATCCACTGATCCGTGTGTGTGAAGTGTTCAGTGCTCTGGAATAAAGCTGCTGATGAGAATCACATCGCTGATCGTTACCATGGGTTACCGCTCATGTGTGTGTGAGTGTGTGTGTGTGTCTGTCCGTGTGTGCGTGTGTGTGTGTGTTTCTGTGTGTCTGTTTGAGCCTGTGTGTGTATCCGTGTCTGTGTGTGTGCGTGCATGTGTGTCTCTCTGCATGCATGTGTGCGTGTCTCTGTCTGTTTGTGCTCGCCTGTGTGTTTACGTGTGCTCGTGTGCATGCGTCTGTGTGTGTTTCTGTGAGTCTGTTTGAGCCTGTTTCTGTGTATATCTCTGTGTGTGTGTGAGCCTGTCTCTGTGTATATCTCTGTGTGTGTGTCAATGTTTCCCTGTGTCTGTCATGTGCACGCTTGTATGTGCGTGTCTGTGATCTCTGTGTATGTGTGTGTCTGTCTGTGTGACTCCGGTGCGTGCGTGTATGTGCTAGTTTTTGTGTTTCTGTGAGTCTGTGTGTGTCTGTACACGTGTGTGAGTCTGTGTGTATATCTGGTTCTGTGCGTGCATGTGTGCGTGCGTGCTGTGATTATATTTAGATGTGTTATTATAAAGTTGGCACATTGGCACTGACTCATAAGAGGTGATGTCAGGATGCTTCAGTAATGCAGGCGCCTTCATTAAGACATAAACCAAGATGCTCCCGCAGAAGAGATGCTGGAGGTGAAGAAAAAACACACACTAACGAGACACAAGTGCTGATATCTCTGACGTCAGACCTGCTGGGTTTGGGCTAAGTTTAGGATTTGCCGTTTAGCGCAGACGTTTGTTCTCTGTGCTTCTGCACGAATCGAACACTTTTATTCAGGAAAAAAAGTATTTAAAATTGATCATATGGGCTATTTAAATTAAAAAATTATACAGTTTTAAAATAAATAAATAATAAATATGACCAAAATAAGAGTTCAATTTTTTTGTAAATATTCAGTTGCAATAAAAATATAAATAAATAAATTAATAAGTAATTATATAGATATAGTTAAATAAATAAATGATTAAATAAATACCTATTAGGACCAAATTGAGAGGAAAACTTTTTGTAAATAAAAAGTTCCAATAATAAACAAAAACATAAATAACTAAATAAATAATTAAATTATTCAAATAAATAATTAGTTTTAAAAGAAATAGGTAAAATAAATAGATACATACAAAGTTTAATTAATAAATTGATAAATAAATGAATTAGCTAATAAATAACTAAATAGTTGATACGTATAGATAAATAAACAGTTAAACAAAATAAATAAATAGTTGAAATAAATGGATAAATAAATAGTTGAAATAAATAGATAAATAAACAGTTAAGTAAATAAATAAATAAATAGTTGAAATAAATAGTTACCTGTATAAAAATATAGTTTAAATAAATAAATAAATAGTTAAATAAATAAATAAATAAAAAAAGTTGAAATAAAAGGATAAATAATCAGTTAATTGAAATAATAAAATAAATAAATAGTTGAAATAAATAGTTAAATAAATAAACAAATAGTTTAAATAAATAGTTAAATGAAGTAAATGGATAAATAAACAATTGAAATAAATAGATAAATAAACAGCTAAATAAATAAATAAATAAGTAGTTGAAATAAATAGT